GTGTGTGCGCGCGTGCGCGTGCGTGCGTGCGCGCGCGCAGAAATCGTGATGAAAGTCAACAAAATTTTCAATAGTAATTTCCAGATTCAGTTTCCAGATTGGGTGGTAGTTGTTACCCTGAAGCATTCTTAGATTCTGGACACTTATCAATAAATCTTAGACAAATGTGGAGAGAGAGAGAGAGAGAGAGAGAGTGAGAGAGAGAGAGAGAGTGAGAGAGTGAGTGAGAGAGTGAGTGAGAGTGACAGGTGAGGGAGGAGGGAGGGTGGATGTAATTCACTGAATTTGAAATTTGATTTTTCTTTTACATAGGAGAGTGTGGTGGCAGGAAGTGAATTCATTTCCGTTCCCCCTGAGAGAGCTCCAGTGTGACAGGTTCCGAGCAGATGGTAACGCTTCCAGTGCTTTCCAACCATTTCCCATAGGTACTACTGTATTGATCTGTCTCCCCTTAGTGGCTAGTGATGGTGAGAAGTGAGGGAGAGGGGTGGTAGGATGAGGGGGGAGAGCCCCAGCAGGATGAGGGAGGGGGGAGTGGACAAGGATTGAGGAGAGGGGAGATGAGATATAAAGATGAGGGTCAGAAGGAGGAGGAGGGGAAGGGGGTAAATTTCAGACTAGTGTTCTTACATTGTTACCTCATTCTCTTCGTGCATTGTTACTGCTGCTGCCTTTACCACTCTATAAACACTTGTATTGCTACTGAGATAGTTGCTGCTGATTACGTATTACTGTTCATGACTTGACCACCTGGCGTATACTCTCTGTATACCTGGCGTTGTGTACCCCTTGTACTCATTGCTGCCACCACCACTTCTCTTCTGCTGCCACCACCACTTCTCTTCTGCTGCCACCACCACCACTTCTCTTCTGCTGCCACCACCACTTCTCTTCTGCTGCCACCACCACCACTTCTCTTCTGCTGCCACCACCACTTCTCTTCTGCTGCCACCACCACCACTTCTCTTCTGCTGCCACCACCACTTCTCTTCTGCTGCCACCACCACTTCTCTTCTGCTGCCACCACCACCACTTCTCTTCTGCTGCCACCACCACTTCTCTTCTGCTGCCACCACCACTTCTCTTCTGCTGCCACCACCACCACTTCTCTTCTGCTGCCACCACCACTTCTCTTCTGCTGCCACCACCACTTCTCTTCTGCTGCCACCACCACCACTTCTCTTCTGCTGCCACCACTGCACCAGACCAGGGTGATACGTGAACCACACAACACTCAAGGTTCATAATAGAAGGGATTCATGAACGAACCACCATTACCAACCTCGGTTAGTTTCGTAGCCCAAATGTGACCATGGCGCAAGAGAACCTGAAATAAACAGAATAGCAACAACTGGGACAGAAAGAGCATCCTCATCTCCCTACCGAGACGCAACCTCCGTTGTGACCACCTCGGGGGCACCATCTTACTGATGGGGGGGATGCTGGCGAAGATGAAATGTTATCACCAGATAATTTTAAGTGCTAGAAAGGGATGTCGTGGAGTCCTGATGGCATTGGAGGAATGTTAAAAACTAAATTGTAATCTATCGACATGTGTTAATTGATGGGTTGAAGCCGAGTGAAGTTGATGACACGACGTATGAGAGGAGGATGGTGAGAGGAAAGGAGGGAGGGATGGAATTGGAATAACATTGGCCTGGCAGCTCTATGCCTATGGTAAGGTTTGGTGTTATATATTTACTACATATGTGCTACGTTGTTCAGTTACTTTCAAACCCCACCACTGTCTCTCCAACATCACCCAGTCAACCCCCTTCACCGCTACTCACTACCAACACCACCACCCACCACCACTACCCACCACCACTACCCACCACCACTACCCACCACCACTACCCACCACCACTACCCACCACCACCACCACCACAACCCACCACCACTACCCACCACCACTACCCACCACCACTACCCACCACCACTACCCACCACCACTACCCACCACCACTACCCACCACTACCCACCACTACCCACCACCACCACTACCCACTACCACCACTACCCACTACCACCACTACCCACTACCACCACTACCCACCACCACCACTACCCACCACCACCACTACCCACCACCACCACTACCCACCACCACCACTACCCACCACCACCACCACCACTACCCACCACCACCACTACCCACCACCACCACTACCCACCACCACCACCACCACTACCCACCACCACCACTACCCACCACCACCACTACCCACCACCACCACTACCCACCACCACCACCACCACTACCCACCACCACCCACCACCACCACTACCCACCAACACCACCCACCAACACCACCACCCACCACTACCACCCACCACCATAACATAACCTCTACTACCACAATCACAGGCCACTATAAACCTCCACCATCCACAACAACCCCCCCCTCTCCACAACCCCCCACCACGTCCCCACACCACACTGAAGGTAAGGGGGGGGGAGTCTGGCATGGCTATAATCCCCTCGTCCTTAGATCCTACTTCACGCCTCTTTAACCATCGTTAAGGAGCTCCTGCGTTAGTTCTCGTCTTGTACCGCTGGTTCAGATGCTCCCCAGACGCTGCTGAGCACGCACTTCGGTTGTTAGGGAACTGGGTTGTTAGTGTGCGCTGAGTATTCCTCCTTGACCTGTGTGTCTTCCCCATCAAGCCGCCAGGTCTGTCAGCTTGACCTGTCATTCTGTCTGATGCCCCAATGATAGTGGTCTCGTCTGTCTTTCTCCCCTCATCTTCCTGTCTGCTCTCTTTCCAGCCTGCCTGACTTCCCATCCCATCTGTCGCATTATGCCTGTCATTCTCCAAGCTTGTCTCTTCTTCCCCAAGCATCTTCCTCCTCCTCCTAGCCTGCCTCCACCCACGGAGCCTGTCGCCGCCCACTCCCACCCTGCCTCCCTGGGCGTACCGTTTCATCAACCTGCCGCCGGCTTCCCGCCACATGCCTCAGCCTGCTGCCTCTTGGTAGCCTGCGGCGCTATAAAAGCAGCCTCGACATAGCCTGATAGAATTAGAGCGGTGATGGAGCGCCATATTTGCATATAATGTCGGGGGAATGTTGGGTAATGTATCGTCCCACGTATTTTTTTTTCTCCTCTAGACGGGACCTCGTGATGGTGATCGCTGTTGTTGCTGCTGTTGTAGTTCCTTATGTGGTCATGTTGCTGCTGCAGCTGTTGTAGTTCCTTATGTTGTCATGTTGCTGCTGCAGCTGTTGTAGATCCTTATGTTGTCATGTTGCTGCTGCAGCTGTTGTAGTTCCTTATGTTGTCATGTTGCTGCTGCTGCTGTTGTAGATCCTTATGTTGTCATGTTGCTGCTGCTGCTGCTGTAGATCCTTATGTTGTCATGTTGCTGCTGCTGCTGTTGTAGATCCTTATGTTGTCATGTTGCTGCTGCTGCTGTTGTAGTTCCTTATGTTGTCATGTTGCTGCTGCTGCTGTTGTAGTTCCTTATGTTGTCATGTTGCTGCTGCTGCTCTTGTAGTTCCTTATGTTGTCATGTTGCTGCTGCTGCTCTTGTAGTTCCTTATGTTGTCATGTTGCTGCTGCTGCTCTTGTAGTTCCTTATGTTGTCATGTTGCTGCTGCAGCTCTTGTAGTTCCTTATAGTGGTAGAGACGGGGACAAAAGCGGAATGTATGTCGACAGCGGTCACCTTGCCGGCCCGGCAATGTGTGGGCGTGTGAGTGCGTGTGCTGTATTGTGGGCGTGCGTGAGAGAGAGAGAGCAGCGGTGTAGGCGTGCGTGAGGCTGTGAGTGTTGGGTGTTTGTGGGCGTGCGTGAGAGAGAGCGGCGGAGTGGGCGTGCGTGAGGCTGCGAGTGTTGGGTGTTTGTGGGCGTGTGGTGTGCGTGGGCGTACAGCCGGCCGGGGGCGTGCACCACGGGCGTCATCTTGGGCCGAGTGTGCAGACCGCTCGGGGATGCATTGCCTTATTTGCAATTCTATTCCCTGGTGGTATTGCTCTATAGCTTATGTCTTCAGGGTCTTCAATAACTCCTGCTTGTCTTCCCCTCTTCCCCCCCCCCCAGGGAGGAGGAGGAGGAGGAGGAGGTAGGGGGCGAGAATAAAGGAAGGAAGGAAAAGGTGAGAAAAGAGGAAGCACCGTAGCTCGGTATGACAATGCAATTTTTCACGATACACTAGGGGTGTATTTTCACAGCCTGGGCCCCTCGGAGCCCGACCCCCAGAGCTGGAGCCCCGTGTGTGTAGGGGGGGGGAGGGGGGGTGGCCGACCTGTTGCCTCATTAGGTTAAGTGTTTGTCTCCGGGGGCTGACTGCGCCTATTCACGGACGCTAATTATTCATATTAATTATTAATTAGTGAAGCAATGATGAAGGTAGTTCTTTGTTGGGGTGGTGCCTGTATCATCACGCCTCGGGTGCTGGGCGGGTCCCTGGGTGCTGGGTGATGTCCCTGGGTGCTGGGTGAGGTCCCTGGGTGCTGGGTGAGGTCCCTGGGTGCTGGGTGATGTCCCTGGGTGAGGTCCCTGGGTGCTGGGTGAGGTCCCTGGGTGCTGGGTGAGGTCCCTGGGTGCTGGGTGAGGTCCCTGGGTGCTGGGTAAGGTCCCTGGGTGCTGGGTGAGGTCCCTGGGTGAGGTCCCTGGGTGCTGGGTGGGTCCCTGGGTGCTGGGTGATGTCCCTGGGTGCTGAGCGGGTCCCTGGGTGCTGGGTGAGGTCCCTGGGTGCTGGGTGATGTCCCTGGGTGCTGGGTGAGGTCCCTGGGTGCTGGGCGGGTCCTTGGGTGCTGGGTGAGGTGCGGGCTCCAAATTAACAAAACAAATTATTCATGAAAGTTGTACATTTACTTATCATTCACTTTATTTACAGTTTACATGTCTCATTTATACAAGAAAAAAAAGTCTTATAACCAGAAAAAAGTCATTGCGTGACCTCATGTCTTCAGTTCCTTGATTATTAAGGTTGTCTTAGATTTTTTCTAAGAAAAATTTGATAATAATCTGAGTTCTTCATTAATACTACGCACAAGACTCTCTTCCTTCTCAGGTGCGAGGACTTCAGGGTGCTTGCTGGCTCGGCCCGCCTGTGTCATGTGTCAGACGGAAACGTGACATGTTTCAATCGAAAAAGTGTAAAAAAGTGTTGTGTCGCACACTGTGTGTCTCTCTGGTGCTAATGCGCGTGTTTCTCCTCCTCCCGCAGGTGCAGTCAACGGCAGAACTGCAGCGTGCCGGCGTCGACGCGAGGCTTCGGCGACCCGTGCCCCGGGACTCTCAAGTACCTGGAGGCTCACTTCCAGTGTGTTCCCGGTGAGTCTCTACACCCGTGATGCTGGTGTCTGGCACCCACCACCCTCCCCAGCCACACCCCTGAGGTGTGGCTGGGGAGGTGCCACAACCCTCGCTCTCTGTGCACCACACCAATATTTCTCCATGTTGTCACTTGTATGTGAAATAACTTAATAATCTCGATATTTCTCATGTCACATTTTTGCATAACATGATTTTTTCTACAAATGTGAGTAATGGTTTCCCTTCTTGACAGTGAACCCTCCGTCTCACACTGCCCGGCCCCGGCCTCCTTGGTTCATCGCCACCAAGACCACTGTCAGCTCCATCACCGAGGACGACCCACCCATCCCCTCGCCTCCAATCAAGGGCCCCCCTGTTGGAGGCAGTGGGGCTGGCGGCGGTGGTCTCGGCGGCCCTCTTTCTGGCGACGATGGAGATGGTGGGGGAGGAGATGGCGAGAGTGGAGGAGGAGGCGTTAAAGGAGGGGGAGGAGGAGGAGGAGGAGGAGGAGGAGGGGGAGGAGGTAACAGCGGGGAAGATGGGAACATTAATTTGGAAAGCCGCGTTAAGGGACCATCAGTCGAGGACCTGCCGCACACGACCACCTCCACGACGACCACGACCACGTTGCGGCCGCCGCCCTGGCTCATCACCAACACGACCAAGAACACAACTACCACCACAACTTCCACCACGACCTCCACTACTACTACTACCATCACGCCCAAGCCCGCTTCCTCGACGACTACCACGACTTCCCGGCCTCAGACGAACTTAGACATTCCCGTTATTTCGTCGGAGGCGGGAGGAGGGAGCAAGACGCGGGGCGACAACAACGATCCTGAAGACGATGACGACGACGAAGTCATGAATCACAACAAGGACGACGAAGCTCAGGACAAGGAACACGTCTTCACCTCCACAGTGTCTACTACGAGTAAGTTAAGACAATTACCAGCGTGTTAAATGTAACTTTTAAGCAGTAATTTATTGACGTTAAAAAAAATCGACCTGAGACCCACAAATATTTTTATGCTACCTGCCATTTTCCTTGTTTTAATTATTAGCTTGTTTTTGTTCTTCTCCAATAAACAAGTCTATTTTTTTGTGGAAACGATAAAGCTCATATTTAATACTCATAGATGGCACAGAGACTTAAGGAGAGCGCCTATTGAACAGTGCGAGTCTTGAGAACACTTCTTTGACAGCTGAGTGGACAGCGCTTCAGATTCGTAGTCCTGAGGTTCCGGGTTCGATCCCCGGTGGAGGCGGAGACAAATGGGCAAAATGTTTCTTTCACCCTAATGTCTCTTGTTACTTAACAGTAAATAGGTACCTGGGAGATACAGCTGCTACGGGCTGCTTCCTTGGGGTATGTAACAAAAAAAAAAGAGGCCTGGTCGAGGACCGGGCCGCGGGAACGTAAAACCCCGAAATCTTCTCAAGATAACCTCAAGATAACCTTTGAAGTGTCCGTCCACTGGGACTGGTCGGTGCGGCGTTCGATCCCCCAAGATCCAAGTGGTTTGTGCACCGTTCCTTTCCTCCGTCCTCATATTTCAGCTTCTGGTCCTCATATCCCTTTCAAGTGCTAACTAGTCATTCTGGCTTAGCTCGTTCTCCTGATAATTACTCTTCTGAGATGCGCCCTAATTCATTGGAAGCATTGAGGCTACCTCTTACTTTTCTGTAAATGCCTGATGTAGTTCTGTTGCTAAACTGTCCACTGATCCATGTCAGTTGATAACTCCTTGATAACTCCTTGATAACTCGCTCTGCTATGCAGGCTTTGACACGTACCAGGAAGAAATCTTTACAAGTTAGGAGTAAATTCAATTTCTATTTGTGACAATAACCACCTGAACGAAGCTCTTAGGTTCCTAACACATGCTGCTCGTTCAAGATAAAAGCCTGGTAAGGCATCTCCTACACTTATCTCAAAAGAAGTGTCTCTAACCTTAACGTAACTGTTAAAAACAGTATTCCAAACTTGGATATATTAGTAGCAGAATGTGGACATTGAGTAGTATATTATTCATATATTATATATATAGTATATTATTCAGTAAGCAGTAGCGGGGCTGACAGCTTCTCCATATTAACCTACCCTGGCTTTGTGCCCTGGAGAGGCCACTCCAGACCGACAACCAGAGCGCAACTCCATAGTCTCCTATGATTTATGGATGCCGATGCCTAATACTACCATACATATTTCCTAGCAAATATAGTGCGGAAAAGGATATACAAATTGGTTATCGCTGAGATATCAGCTCGCCGCCCGGATGCTGCTATCCTCGGCCACCTGCGCCACTCGTTATCAAAGTCCACCTCAAATTTATATTCATTTGAAAACTGCCAATGAAATACGTTGTTATTGGATATACCACTTTTCGCTTGTTTTAAACGTGTAAAACTAAAATTGTTCGGTCTGCCCGAAACGTTATGCGTGTTAGTGGCTTTGCAAGGATGTAAAAAATATACCAATATTATGTACTCTCACAAACCCATTGTACCTTCTTTTTTAAATAAATAAATTTATTAGCAAGTAAATTCAATTTTAGAATAAATAGCAACAATACACGGGCATGCCTTTGCTGTGTGAGGAGGCTACATCACCGTAGCTCTTCTTGAGATTGAGAAATCGGTATTCAGAGATTAATGTTAATGTTGTAATGTTTGTTTCTTTCAACAGCCGTGTGGTCTGCACGGGCGGAGGTGCCAACAACAGGTGCTGGTCCCGTCAGTAGCGACGCGTCTTGGTGTCCCCCTTCGTCAGGTCGTGGTCTGTTCTGGAACTGGACGCAGGGTGGAGAGGTTGCGGTGCAGCCATGCCCCGGGGGAGCGTCAGGTTGGGCGCGGCGCCCCTGTAACCCCCTGGGGTGGGCAGGCCCTGCCGACTTGAGTGAGTGTCGTAGTGTGTGGCTCACCACACTGACTTCCCGCGCCCATACCAATGACGCCGTACTGGCAGTGGCCCACGACCTGGCGGCAGTGACCGGGTCCCGGGCGCTGTATGGCGGCGACGTCACTGCCACTGCCAGGCTGCTCAACAGCCTGGCACGCCGTATGGCAGACGACGTCAACAACTTCCCCGACGGAGACCAGCGGGAGGCGCTGGTGACGGAGCTCGTAGGCGCCGCGGTCGCCACAGGATCACATCTGGTGGGCGGTCAGCGAGCGGCGTGGGCAGACCTTCGGCCCCCTGAACATAGAGCCGCTGCCACCGCCCTCCTCTTGGGATTAGAAGAGGCAGCTTTCTTATTAGCCAATAACCTACACCACGAGAAGACGGTGAAGCACGCTGAAGCCAATATACGTAAGTACCCCTTAGCATGTGGCGCCACGGGGCCCTAAAGCGTCCACCAGTGTCACTAGGCTATTCTTTTCTTTTAAATTGGCCTCCTTAGACCTTGAATATATTATAAAAAAATTGCATAGCATGGGATAATGTTTTCTTTTGTAAGAGACTTCCTGCTTCCAAAATTTTCAGACGCTCCGTGACAGACTCTGACTGAAGGTTAAAGGAAGGAAGGACTGAATGACTAATTATTTTTTTACTTGAATATATCGCCTGTACGGTAGGCGGGAACATCCATGATAATTGTGATGAATGCGGAGATATTCCTATAACTGTTGAACTTAAAAAACAATCTTTACTATAGATTGATGGTACTGAGATTAAGATACAATTTAGTTTTTTTGTATTTTATGCTACCTCCTCACGAGGTAGGCGGTAGATAGACAGCTTCTTAGTGAAGCAATCATCCAGTCATCCAGCCTCCTCAGTAGGTAGGATATCACTGCACATGGGATCACCCGCTCATCCAGCTGCCCCAATAGGTAGAAAACATTACACTGGGTGAGTGGACACTGAGCCAGTCCGTCACCTAAGCTGGTTGCGCTGCCCTCCAAACACCCAGAAGAACGTTATCTACTGCAGGTGTGGCGACTGCGTGAGGGGCTGCCATGGTGGTCTTAATTGTCTGTGCAAGAAGGCTGCCTCGCTCCTGCCTCTCACTCACCCTCCTCTCTCTGCCTCCCAGGTGCCCTCCAACTTGTTTCTCCTCCTTTCTTCTAACCCCGTTTCAGCCTTCTTGCTCTGTGTGGTCACCGTGCTCCTCTCTCAAGTTCCCTAGTGTTCTTCGTCGCCGTCATTCTCATTTTATCATGTTGTTGCTTCATCTTTTCTCATCCTCTTCTCCCGCGCGCACGTTCCTTCAGCACCTCGGGCAGTAATTGCATCAGGCTCTCACGTATAAAATCCTGAGTAAAAAGTAGCGTAAGTTAAGGTTAGGTTAGGCTCCATTATGTGCTTGCTGGAGCTGCAGGAGGAGCTGGTGGAGGTGCTGCTGGAGGTGGAGGTGCTGGTGGAGGAAGGTGCTGGTGGCGGTGGTGGAGCTGGTGGAGGTGCTGGTGGAAGAGCTGGTGTAGGGTGGAGATGCTCTATGTATCATAGAGATGTTAGAAAGTTTTCTTTTAGCGTGAGGGTAGTGAGTAAATGGAATGACCTACAGGAGCAGGTTGTAGGGGCAAACTCAACTCACAACTTTAAAAGCAGATATGATAGTGTAATTGGCCAAGAGTCATTGCATTAGACAATCGGCGGCTAAAAAAAATGCGGGGACCCAAGAGCTAGAGATTTCTCCTGTAGGCACAGATAGACGAGTACACAAATACAAGTGTACGCATGTAAGAGGGGGAGAGAGAGAGAGAGAGAGTGAGTGAGTGAGGGAGAGTTAGGAGCAAATGAAGGAACGTAAAGAGTCAGATGAGTGAGAAATATGTGAGAAAGAGCGTCAGCGCCGGGGATGTAAATAAGCTGGATGTGTTAAGTAACGAGGCGGTTGAAGCTAACGGAATGCTCACTTGTAAGTGTAAATGGCATCATGAATGAGAGAACAGTCACTTGTGGTGTGAAAGGCGGGAATGAAGAGCCGATAATAGACTCTACACAGGTGAGAACCCGCGCTTATATTCTAGTGCATGCCTTTTGTCTCCTTCAGTCGTTTCCCTCTCTTATCCCACTTTTTTATTTATTCCCCCCCCCTTCCCTCTCTCCCTTCACTCCACCCTCTCTCCCTTCACTCCCCCATCTTTCTACTCCCCCATCAATTCACTCCAAAATTGAATTACATTTCACCTTTGTAAATGACATTACTATGTAAAAGACACATCGAACACTTTTTGTAGGGCATACGTAAATCTGTGTATCTATGTATTTACGTATGTAGCTTAGCCTAGCATTTTAAAAGCACTACAATCACCTTCTGTGGTTGATTGTTCAATAAATCCCTGAAGTATATGTTTAACCAATCTCTCACCCTGTCCCTGGAGGACAGAAGTGTGTGTGTGTGTGTATATATATATATATATATATATATATATATATATATATATATATATATATATATATATATATATATATATATACCACGTCTGTGGTAGAAAAAAAGGAAAAATTCCCCCATCATCTCCCGCCAGTCATCTCTCCTCCCCCCCCCCCCCCCCTTGTGGTAATTTATAAACAAGCATCACATTACCAAAGTGCTTAATGGCGTCTGCTCTGCCATCATCACTGGCCTTGTCCTTACTTTGTCCTTGCTGCAGTCTTTGTCCTTGTCGGGTCATTTCCATAGCACATTTTGTCATTGTCGCTGTAGTTATCTGTTTGAGGGTCTCCTGCTTTTGTTGTGTTGGCATATTCTCATTCTCTCTCTCTTTGTTTTTTCGCGATTTCCTTCCTTAAACACTATTGCAACTTCCAGTTTTTCTTCCTGATGTATTCCTCACACATTCCACGACAGCTACACGAACCTGCCTTCGTGTTTTGGGGCCTGGGAAGGTGGCGGCCTCACACTGCAAACCATTTTACCCTTTAGTGTGTAAACATTTTGAGAAAAATGGGGCCCCAGCATAATCCCTTCCTCCATCCCCCATAACGTACTGTTAAACAAATGTTTGATTATACAGTTAAAAAAACACCTCATTCTTATGGCACTAGATAAATTACTTATCAATCCTGGTCGTCAAGCCGTAGCATCAGTAACTTGGTAGCTCTAGTCGTGTAATTAATAATTTAGATCGATGAACAAATCCACATGGGCCGTGATGAGGGTTCGAACCTATGTACTGGATGTTCTTAGATGCGCCTTAGTCAACTGTACCACGACATTGTCAGGTATCTGAAACCTTTCTGGATACGAGACAGACTTGAGTGCGTACATCCTCGTCAGATGAGCGCTGTTGATCTGTTAGGTCTCAGACCCTTCCTTGCTGTATTTGACATTTGACCTAGGGGTTTGATGAAGTGTTGTATTCATTCACGCCAAACGTTTGCCAGAAAACGTGGCTATCAATCATTCGTACGTGTCATCAGGCTTTGTCTGTCGTGGGCTTGGCCTTGAAATGCGTTTCAAGCTAAGGTTCACTGGCAGCTCAAGCTGTGTACGTGTCTTCAAGCTGCATTTGTTGTCGCCGGAGTTCTCCTTTTGTATTCGTGCTTTATGTCTTGTTATGTTGAGCTGCGCCGGCTGCGGAATACCAGATGAAGGAGGCAACGACCGCCTCGCTTGCTTGTCCACGATGGCCGTAACTCCCTGGTGAGATGGGCACATGGTATGATGGTACTAGTTCGTAGTGGTGTGGAACCAGGTATGGCGGAGTACTGGTTGCTGTAGCTGTGGCATGGATGGTAGCTTCTGGTGATATGACAGAGAGGGTGCAAGTAAATGGTAAACGAAGTACAAGGCATCGAAGCTTACTAGTTAGTGCTGGCTGGTACTTCGTATGTACGGCATGGGTATACCTTTCCTGGTGACGGGTACTGCGTATGGCATGGGGTATACCATTCCTGGTGATGGGTTTAAGCAAGTGACTAATTGGTTTTATGTTGCAATACATTCAATATGTAAATGCGTACCTAAGGACGCATTTACGCCGTATCAACCTACCCCTGGCTGTGCGCCCTGGTGAGGCCACTCCAGACCGACAACCAGAGCGCAACTCCATAGTCTCCTGAGACTGACGGATGCCTACTACTGCTACCTATATGACCAGTGGCAGCACCGAGCTACTCGTGCCTGTGTTAATATGAAGGCTGGTCTTTCTCCTGTAGTCTTATAGCTGTTTCTCCTGTAGTCTTATAGCCTTTTCTCCTGTAGTCTTATAGTCTTTTCTCCTGTAGTCTTATAGTCTTTTCTCCTGTAGTCTTATAGTCTTTTCTCCTGTAGTCTTATAGTCTTTTCTCCTGTAGTCTTATAGTCTTTTCTCCTGTAGTCTTATAGTCTTTTCTCCTGTAGTCTTATAGTCTTTTCTCCTGTAGTCTTATAGTCTTTTCTCCTGTAGTCTTATAGTCTTTTCTCCTGTAGTCTTATAGTCTTTTCTCCTGTAGTCTTATAGTCTTTTCTCCTGTAGTCTTATAGTCTTTTCTCCTGTAGTCTTATAGTCTTTTCTCCTGTAGTCTTATAGTCTAGTAAGTCTTGTACGCTAGTAAGACTGGTCTTACTCCTGATCGTTTTTGTGTGATCCCCAGGCTCATGCGAACGTAACTATGAATATCCTGTGAGTGTTACCCACACACGGGGCCTCGTGGCTGAATGGACAGCGCTCGGGAGTCGCAGTCCTAGGGGCCCGGGTTCGATTCCCGGCCGAAGCAGAAATGAATGGGCAGAGTTTCTTTCACCCCCGATGCTCCTGTTCACCTAGCAGTAAATAGATACCTGGGAGTTAGACAGCTGCTACGGGCTGCTTCATGGGAATGTGTGAATGTGTGTGTTAGAGAGAAATATATGTAGTAGAGATAATAGAGGGATCTTCTCTCCTCCACCTCTCTCCTACTCCTCCTCTTCTTCAGCCCCTCCTCCCCCCACCACACACCAGGAGCCCGCGGCAGGAATCAGGATTTAAATCGAATTAAGCCTCGCCACCAAAACTGTCCTTGAGCTTCGCCTGCCAACCTTTCCCAGTTTGTTTTTCTTGCCAATCTCTTTATATATATATATATATATATATATATATATATATATATATATATATATATATATATATATATATATATATATATAATATATTTGGGTAAGCTAGCGTCTGGCGTCTAACTTCCGATAGACAGACACAGACCATCCTTTCTTCTAGTATTTTAATAATTATAATCTAGTATCTTCTAAATTATACATAATTTGTTTAACATTACCTGATTCCTTCGTGTGTTTCCAACTTCCACTTGTGCCCCCTTGTTCTATTTCCCCCGTGTGGGATACACTGTTGTTGTTGTTGTTGTTATAGATTCAGCTACTGGGAACAAAAAGTTGCAAGTAGCACGGGCTATGGTGAGCCCGTAGTGAACTTACCTGGCACAGGAGCGGGGCTAGTAGCAAGGCCTATGGCGAGCCCGTAGTGGACTTACCTGGCACAGGAGCGGGGCTGTAACTGTCGGATAGACTGTCCCTGTCTGCCACATTTATTCTCCTGAGGATCTTTGATGTTGTGCTCATGTCTGTCTGTGTTCTTCTTAACGAGACCCATCTAGTGTCGTAGGAGCACCTTAATCTTTTCGGGTATTATAGCTTCTCTTCTAGACCTTATAATAAGTGTCTTAACTCTTAAAGAAAACCAGGGTCCAGATTCACGAAAGCACTTACACAAGCACTTACGAACCTGGACATCTTTTCTCAATCTTTGGCGGCTTTGTTTACAATTATTAAACAGTTAATGAGCTCCGAAGCACCAGGAGGCTGTTTATAACAATAACAACAGTTGAATGGGAAGTTTTCATGCTTGTAAACTGTTTAATAAATGTAACCAAAGCCGTCAAAGATTGAGGAAAGATGTACACGTTCGTAAGTGCTTGCGTAACTGCTTTCGTGAATCTGGCCCCTGAAATGGCCGAAATTGTGCGTATTAGTGGCTTTAGGCGTAGCATAAACTAGCTCTACCTAGTAATTCAACATTCTGCTTGTATCTATATATATATATATATATATATATATATATATATATATATATATATATATATATATATATATATATATATATATATATATATATGTCGTACCTAGTAGCCAGAACGCACTTCTCAGCCTACTATGCAAGGCCCGATTTACCTAACAAGCGAAGTTTTCCTGAATTAATATATTTTCTCTATTTTTTTTCTTATGAAATTATAAAGCTACCCATTTCATTATGTATGAGGTCAATTTTTTTTTATTGGAGTTAAAATTAACGTAGATATATGACCGAACCTAACCAAGCATACCTAACCTAACCTAACCTAACCTATCTTTATAGGTTAGGTTGGGTTAGGTAACCGAAAAAGTTAGGTTAGGTTAGGTTAGGTAGGTTAGGTACTCGAAAAACAATGAATTCATGAAAACTTGGCTTATTAGGCAAATCGGGCCTTGCATAGTAGGCCGAGTACGACGTTCTGGCTACTAGGTACGACATATATATATATATACTTTACCTAAATCAACTGTTTATATATAATTTATTTATACAATATTCGAGACAAAGAAAACTGTATTCCATCCCTTGGTGGAAGTTCATACAAGTGAGTCAAGTGTCAGATTGATTAGTCTTGCAGACCTCGAGTCCATATTTCGCTGACAATGTATATTGAAGAATCCAATCCTAAGAGGAAGATTGTGGCGGGGGTGAGGTCGCCCCGTCAAGCTCGAGGAAAATTTCAGTCACAATTGGACAAAATCGATGGTAATTGAAGTGCAACATTGTTATTGTAGGGAGATGAAAGACGGCATCAGAGCCACTGCTGATCAAAGCTGCTTACCCGACCCCCCCACCCGCCCCCAGTCCCACCCAGCTCCACCCGCCGCCAGTCCCACCCGCTTCCCGTCCCACCCGCCGCCAGTCCCACCTATGTTCGCCTACCCACTACCTCACGGACCAATTCCTCTCCTATTCCAATTCCTCTCCTATTCCAATTCCTCTCCTATTCCAATTCCTCATAAAAACAGCCATCCACCGCGCCAGATTATACCTTCCCTATTCCCACTCATCCCCCGCCCCCTCCTCCCTCACCACCGACAACCCCCCCCCCCTCCCCACCCCACTCTGTTCAACCCACTTTTCCCCTCAGATACCACCGTCTATCCCCTCTTGACACCGTCCATCTCCTCTTGACACCGTCCATCTCCTCTTGACACCGTCCATCTCCTCTTGACACCGTCCATCCCCTCTTGACACCGTCCATCTCCTCTTGACACCGTCCATCCCCTCTTGACACCGTCCATCCCCCTCTTGACAGTTCATCCCCTCTTGACACCGTCCGTCCCCCTCTTGACAGTCCATCCCCTCTTGACACCGTCCGTCCCCCTCTTGACACCGTCCATTACCCTCTTGACACCGTCCATTACCCTCTTGACACCGTCCATCCCCTCTTGACAGCCCATCCCCTCTTGACACCGTCCATCCCCTCCTCCTTTCCTTTCCAATCCCAGGAAACCTGTGTCCTCCCTCCCCCCCCCTCTCTAGCCACCATCCCCCTCTCTCTAGCCAACCCCCCCCCCCTCTCTAGCCAACCCCCCCCTCTCTAGCCACCATCACCCCTCCCCCTCTCTAGCCACCATCACCCCCCCCCTCTCTAGCCACCATCACCCCCCCCCCTCTCTAGCCACCATCGCCCCCCCCCTCCCTAGCCACCATCGCCTCCCCCCCTCCCTAGCCACCATCACCCCCCCCCCCTCTCTAGCCACCATCGCCTCCCCCCCTCCCTAGCCACCATCGCCCCCCCCCCCCTCCCTAGCCACCATCGCCTCCCCCCCTCCCTAGCCACCATCACCCCCCCCCTCTCTAGCCACCATCGCCTCCCCCCCTCTCTAGCCACCATCGCCCCCCCCCTCTCTAGCCACCATCACCCCCCCCCCCCTCTCTAGCCACCATCGCCTCCCCCCCTCTCTAGCCACCATCGCCTCCCCCCCTCCCTAGCCACCATCGCCCCCCTCTCTAGCCACCATCGCCTCCCCCCCTCTCTAGCCACCATCGCCCCCCCCCCTCCCTAGCCACCATCGCCTCCCCCCCTCCCTAGCCACCATCACCCCCCCCCTCTCTAGCCACCATCGCCTCCCCCCCTCTCTAGCCACCATCGCCTCCCCCCTCTCTAGCCACCATCGCCCCCCTCTCTAGCCACCATCACCCCCCCTCTCTAGCCACCATCGCCTCTCCCCCTCCCTAGCCACCATCGCCCCCCCCTCCCTAGCCACCATCGCCCCCCCCCCTCCCAACTGGGACGAATCTACCACGGTGTAATTGACTTTGAATTTGATTGCCTCTTCTGCGGGAGTCTTCGGCGCTCTCAGACGCTCCGCCTCAACCATCAAGAGCCTTCGTGGAGGGCGGGGGGGTGGCTCTTGTGGGGTGGGGGGCGAGGGGATGGCTCTTGTGGGGTGGGGGGGGCTCTTGTGGGGCGGGGGGTGTGGGTGGAGATAAGGGGAAGTGTGGCGGGCGCATCCAATGAGGGGAAGGAAGGATGGAGAGGATATAGGCTCACTAGAAGATGGGTGGTTGTGAGGGGTAGTAAGACGCGATGGACTCACGATGTCCATCGCGGCACTCCTGACAGGTCGTAGACAGACACGGTACAGACAGGAGACAGGGCGTAGACAGACACGGTACAGACAGGAGACAGGGCGTAGACAGACACGGTACAGACAGGAGACAGGGCGTAGACAGACACGGTACAGACAGGAGACAGGGCGTAGACAGACACGGTACAGACAGGAGACAGGGAGTAGACAGACACGGTACAGGCAGGGCACAGGGCGTAGACAGACACGGTACAGACAGGAGACAGGGCGTAGACAGACACGGTACAGACAGGAGACAGGGCGTAGACAGACACGGTACAGACAGGAGACAGGGCGTAGACAGACACGGTACAGGCAGGAGACAGGGCGTAGACAGACCCAACGAAAAGCGCCGTCTTCCCAGCATTGTTATAAGTTACTTATCTGTCATTATTTTAATGTTATTTAAATTTCAGATTTTGTATTTTATATTTACCAATTTAATTTTATACTTGGATTGAGTTATTAAATGGATGAAGTATACAAATAAATAGACTGACAAATTGAAGAGCAAAACTTTTTAACAGACAAATTGATCGACGGTGCTGACAAGGACAATTACAATTATTATGTGGAGTCCCAGTGGGTGCAGTAGTGATACTCCGGGTTACCATTCTTTTGCCCATGTCGTGGTGTAGTCGTTGGGAGCGTGTATCTGGGAATATATAGAACATAGGTTCGAATCCCCATCACGGCTCCTGTGGATTTTGGCATTAAAATATATTTGCGTGGTAGCCAGCAAGGGTTAGTTTGGTGAGCGGCATAGTGAGGAACTCATCTCTCTCAACCTTCTCTCTCTCTCTCCTTCAGTGTTGCGCCTTCAGGTGGTGGAGACCAGGAACGTGGCGGCCGTCTCCTTCCCCTCAACGGGCGAGATGTGGCTGACGGCGCCGCCGACACGGCCCTCCGACCCCTCCTCTACCTCAACGGGCAACCCTTCCTACCCCTCCAGCAGCAGCAGCAGCAGCAGCTCCGGACACCTGGACGCCTCGCCCTCCTTTGCCAGCAGAGACGGCCTTCAGGAGCTGGGGGGCGAGACGGCCAAGATACCCCTAGATACCATCACGCTGCCCCCGGAAGCCCTGCTGGAGAACTCTGAGAACGGCTTGGTCAAAATGGTATTCTTCAGCTACGACGGCCTCCACCACCTACTGCAGCCAGACGGCCGCTCCTATAGAATCAACGAGGCCAACTTCAAGGTAAGCCTGGTAAGCGCCCTACTCTCTCTCACTGTGAATGAATCGAGTTCTTTTCACTGCGAACCTCGCCCCAAAGGTAAGGTGATCATCAGGACAAGGGCTGGGACAGGTCTGAGTGCCCACTCTCATTTTGATCCATCGGGGATCGAACGCCATCCCTGCAGGGTAGAGGGCCGTCGCTCTGCCAACATATTTCAGTGTGGAGAGTGTCCGGGTTGAGCCAGAGACCACCACAGACAGCTTGGGGACCGCTCAAGCGTCTTGTAAAAGTGGCGAGTGGGAAAGCATTTTCTGTGTCCCTTTTTAATGATTCTGAAAGATCAGTAAACAAGTATTGGTCAACTAAACAAAGAAAGATACAATACTCCAGAATATATATACAACTGTAGATGTAATACTTCTGTAGATATAATAATCGTGTAGGCATGTTAAAATATACATAACCCGTCGGTCAATATAATCTTTCCTTACGGAGTATTTATTCGCAAATATCTCTGAGCTGGTTTGAATGTGACATATTGACACAACTGTGTACTATTAAACTAGGTCTCTACAGCTGTGTACTATTACACTAGACCTCTACAGCTGTGTACTATTACACTAGACCTCTACAACTGTGTACTATTACACTAGGTCTCTACAGCTGTGTACTATTACACTAGGCCTCTACAGCTGTGTACTATTACACTAGGTCTCTACAGCTGTGTACCATTACACTAGACCTCTACAACTGTGTACTATTACACTAGGTCTCTACAGCTGTGTACTATTACACTAGGCCTCTACAGCTGTGTACTATTACACTAGACCTCTACAGCTGTGTACTATTACACTAGACCTCTACAGCTGTGTACCATTACACTAGGCCTCTACAGCTGTGTACTATTACACTAGACCTCTACAGCTGTGTACTATTACACTAGACCTCTACAGCTGTGTACTATTACACTAGGTCTCTACAGCTGTGTACTATTACACTAGACCTCTACAGCTGTGTACTATTACACTAGACCTCTACAACTGTGTACTATTACGCTAGACCTCTACAGCTGTGTACCATTACACTAGGCCTCTACAGCTCTGTACTATTACACTAGGCCTCTACAGCTCTGTACTATTACACTAGGCCTCTACAGCTGTGTACTATTACACTAGACCTCTACAGCTGTGTACTATTACACTAGACCTCTACAGCTGTGTACTATTACACTAGACCTCTACAGCTGTGTACCATTACACTAGGCCTCTACAGCTCTGTACTATTACACTAGGCCTCTACAGCTGTGTACTATTACACTAGACCTCTACAGCTGTGTACTATTACACTAGACCTCTACAGCTGTGTACCATTACACTAGGCCTCTACAGCTCTGTACTATTACACTAGGCCTCTACAGCTGTGTACTATTACACTAGACCTCTACAGCTGTGTATTATTACACTAGGCCTCTACAGCTGTGTACTATTACACTAGACCTCTACAGCTGTGTACTATTACACTAGACCTCTACAGCTGTGTACTATTACACTAGACCTCTACAGCTGTGTATTATTACACTAGGCCTCTACAGCTGTGTACTATTACACTAGACCTCTACAGCTGTGTACTATTACACTAGACCTCTACAGCTGTGTACCATTACACTAGGCCTCTACAGCTCTGTACTATTACACTAGGCCTCTACAGCTGTGTACTATTACACTAGGCCTCTACAGCTGTGTACTATTACACTAGGCCTCTACAGCTGTGTACCATTACACTAGGCCTCTACAGCTGTGTACTATTACACTAGGCCTCTACAGCTGTGTACTATTACACTAGACCTCTACAGCTGTGTACCATTACACTAGGCCTCTACAGCTGTGTACCATTACACTAGGCCTCTACAGCTGTGTACTATTACACTAGGCCTCTACAGCTGTGTACTATTACACTAGGCCTCTACAGCTGTGTACTATTACACTAGGTCTCTACAGCTGTGTACTATTACACTAGACCTCTACAGCTGTGTACTATTACACTAGGCCTCTACAGCTGTGTACTATTACACTAGGTCTTTACAGCTGTGTACTATTACACTAGGCCTCTACAGCTGTGTACTATTACACTAGGTCTCTACAGCTGTGTACTATTACACTAGGTCTTTACAGCTGTGTACTATTACACTAGGCCTCTACAGCTGTGTACTATTACACTAGGTCTCTACAGCTGTGTACTATTACACTAGGTCTCTACAGCTGTGTACTATTACACTAGGCCTCTACAACTGCAACTAATATCTATCAAAATAAAACAACTAGGAATTAATCGGCTTAGGCTTAGCTTGGGTTCAGCACCTCCACACTCTGGTTGGCAATATCGGATCGAGAGAGAGAGAGGGAGAGGGGGAGAGGGGGAGGGAGAGGGGGGGATGGGGGGGGGAGGCGCCAGGCCAGGCCAGGCAATAAATATTTTTCAATTTTGTTGCACGTATTGAGTAATTCTTGCCACATACACATGCAACTGACTGCCCTCTTGTTGCATATGGTCGGCAAGGCGCTGGGGGAAGGGGGCTCGCAGCTGAAATATCTCCTTGTTTACGTGTTTAAGATAAGAAATGGTGTAAAAGTAAGTAGCGTTAACGTGGCGACTTGAGAAGGGTTCCAGGAATTGGAACAACGTGACTTTCTTGACCAGACCACACACTAGAAGGTGAAGGGACGACGACGTTTCGGTCCGTCCTGGAGCATTCTCAAGTCGATTGTGATGAGGAAGTGACTCATCGCCTGCAACGTGACTTTTCTTCCTTTTCACGTACTCAACTAGTTGTGTTTGCGGGGGTTGAGCTTTGGCTCTTTGGTCCCGAGCCATACACACGTGTATATATATATGTGTGTGTGTGTGTGTGTGTGTGTGTGTGTGTGTGTGTGTGTGTGTGTGTGTGTGTAGTGGTCTGTAAGAAATGGCTTTCCAGTAAGATTGATATCTTATGAGATTATATAAACCACCACCATATAAGCGCCTTCATTTTCTGGTGACATTTATCTAGCCAATATTCACTAGTCTGCTTCCAGACAATAGTTATACGGTCGTGATTTTTTTTTTTTTGGTTTCTCTAGGTCCAAAGATGATCACAACGTGAGCATGACATGAAATTTTAAACAGTAATCGACGGATACAGTGACAATAAATTAGACATTGCCGAAGCACCACATATCAAACACTCTAAACCCAGTGTTAATATCCAGGGCGCACCTCATCAGCCAACATAAGAACATTTATTAAATAAGGAGCTACAGAAGACCTCTTGGGCCGTGCAGCCGTACTTCACTTACCCCCTTCATACTTTGATATGCGGGGTTGACCCAGATGATAATTTGTATCCACCTCTCATTTGCCCTTGAAAATGTTGACCGGATCAACGAAACGCATCTTTTTTAGTGTCCAACTGTATACAATTGTAAAATGTACTTTGGAAACTTAATTTTGTCCACTTCCTTCTCTATATATATCTATATATATCTATATATATATATATATATATATATATATATATATATATATATATATATATATATATATATATATATATATATATATATATATATATATATATATATATATATATATATATATATATATATATATATATATATATATATATATATATATATATATCTATCTATATATATATATATCTATATATATATAATATATATAATGTATATGTATATATATAAATATATAATATGTACCTTCTTTCATACCTAGAAAAGGGTACCACCTCTGGTGCAAGTGTAGGTGAAGAAAATAGAGTACTCATAAAATTAACACATGATGAAAAATGTGACAGTGTCAGACCACGAAGGAAGAATTGGTATGTATTGTGCTTGTGTAATAATACCAAACAATATAAAAATCCCAAGAGGACTTGTAGTGTAGTGTGTGGGGGTGGTGGTGGCGGCGACGGCGGGGGGGGGGGGGGGTTACAAGACAGAGAGCACAGGACACCATCTTGGCACCTCCATTTGGCCCCAACAATTGGTGGGGCGAGGAAGAGTGAGGGTGGAGGCGGCGGTGGCATCACTCGCCCGGGATGGAGGCCAGGCACGGTGTCAAGAACGCAGCGCCCTTGAGTGTTATGGAGATGTAACTCGAGCGAGAGCCTCCCTGAGTGGATTGTTTTTTTTTTTGGGGGGGGGGGCCGTGGGCTGGTGTACCTTGGAGGGTGTACCGTGGCTGGTGTACCATGGAGGGTGCACCGTGGCTGGTGTACCATGGAGGGTGCACCGTGGCTGGTGTACCATGGAGGGGGTACCGTGGCTGGTGTACCATGGAGGGGGTACCGTGGCTGGTGTACCATGGAGGGTGCACCGTGGCTGGTGTACCATGGAGGGGGTACCGTGGCTGGTGTACAATGGAGGGGGTACCGTGGCTGGTGTACCATGGAGGGGGTACCGTGGCTGGTGTACCATGGAGGGGGTACCGTGGCTGGTGTACCATGGAGGGTGCACCGTGGCTGGTGTACCATGGAGGGTGCACCGTGGCTGGTGGTGTACCTTGCAAGCAATAATTTTTGTAGTAATGGTCGAGTAATTGATATTGGGAGAGGCGAGGCGACCAAACGCCTTCACCTGTCTGAATTGGTTGTCATGCTATCCTATCCTTCGGAGTACTGAGATCTGTCACGGTCAGGCTGGGTCAAGCTGTGGTAATATCGGTGGCAGGGTGATTGATTGATTGAAGAAGTTCAAGCCACCCAGGAGGTGGCACGGGCAGGAATAGCCCGTAAGGGGTAGAATTCAGGTGGCAGGGTGGGCCTAGTAGAGGGGACACCGGGCCGATGTTAAGGGTGACATTTTAGCGTGCCGGGTGAGGGCTAGGCGGTGTTCCCTCGCCTGTGCTCACGATCATTAATGTCTTGCGCATGTTTCATCTGTGGTTCTCTTCTCCACTGGCTGGTTGCCCTCGAGCTCATGTCGAGTTCGACTGTCCGATGGAGGCTGTCTTGTGCGGCGGGGCGGGCGCAGGAACACTTAGGGCATGTCACACGGTATATAGGAAATATGATGAGTTAATATGTAGATTATACTGTGTATGGTGTATATAGTTTACTGTGTATGGGAGTCTAAAATGAGTTTGGACTCACTGTACCTTTCCCTGCAGGGCGTGAACGAGACGCGGGTCCTCAACTCCCGAGTGCTGTCGGCGTCGCTGGGGGCGGGGCGACACATCGAGCTCTCCGAGCCCGTGGTGCTCACCTTCGCCATGATACGGACCGTCAACGTCACCAACCCCGCCTGCGTCTTCTGGGACTACACCACCAGGTATGATGATGATGATGATGATGATGATGTCTTCCTCCCTACACCTCTGCTCCCTACCCTCCTCCTCCTCCTACCCAGGGGGTGTACACACTCCCTCCAGTGAGGTTGTTCCGCCTCCCTCTGGCTCCCACCAGGTGGGTTCTCGTCCCTGTGAGATGCTGTCTGTCAGGAGTTGTCTTGGACACCTCTCGGGATCTCAAGGGCTGTGATGGCTGGCTATAAGCACACGTCTTCACAGCATACATCACCACCTCACAATACATGTCACTATCACTACACAATATACACAATACAGAGCCTGTACATCTGTCTGTTATAGGTTGAAAGTCTGGATCATTAACCATAACTCCCCCCCCCCCCCGGGAGTATTACTACCACAAAACTCATCTCACCTAGTTGTGCTTGCGGGGGTTGAGCTTCGGCTCTTTGGTTCCGTCTCTCAACTGTCAATCTACTGGTGTACAGGTGCCTGAGCTTATTGAGCTCTATCATATCTACATTTAAAACTGTGTATGGAGTCAGCCTCCACCACATTACTGCCTAATGTATACAATTTATTGTTGCCTTCAGGATATGTCACCTCCACAATACCACTACACCACTACACCACCACAATACCACTACACCACCACAATACCACTACACCACCACTACCACAATACTGTCTCACACCACACTGCACCACTCTACCACCACTACCATACCATCACCACCATATCACCACACCACCACCACACTACACCACCACCAATACACCACCATACCACCACCACACCACACCACCACCACACTGCAGGTCTACCGTAAGAGGAAGAAGCCAGCCAATTTTAGGCAGGGATAATTGCTAGAAATTACATTGAAATGAGCCTGAGATACGAGAGATAAAACCGTGATTGTGATCAAGCCCCGAGGGCAGGCGATGGCTATCCCCCGCCCCACCCTGCCCTAGCGGAGGGTAGTGGACGGGTGCTGGGGAAGAGGGCTGGGGCTAGAGAGGAAGGGAAGAATAGAAAAAAGGGGAGTGGTAAAAGGGGCTAGTGAGTCAGCTGTGCATATTGGACTCTTCAGGAGAGGTTTCGAGGGGTTGCTTCTAATAAGCGAGTCCCAACCCCCCTTTCCCCACCACTCCCCCCAACCCCCTTCCCCCACCACTCCCCCCAACCCCCTTCCCCCACCACTCCCCCCAACTTCTTTCCCCCACCCCCTTCCAACCTTCACACACACATATATTCTAGAATTAGTCCTGATATATGTGGTATTCACGGTCCAGAAAGAAACCATAGTTATAATTTTGAAAGTTGCTCTTAAGCTGGCTAGCCAGCCTTGCACATGCCGCCGATGATATCCGTTTAATATCCACTGTGTGTGGCGTCACACCTCAGGGTGGTGCTTCTGTCCGATCCCAAGATGGTTTCCTGGCCCCATTTGGGACCTTCTGCTGGCTCTCCTGCACCCAGATTAATCTTGCACTTGGAATAGATTGTGTGATTGATAAAGATTAAGCCACCCAAGAGGTGGCACAGGCATGAATAGCCCGTAAGTGGTACAATTTTTTTTTCTCAGTATTCTGAGGTTGCATTTTAACCATCAAGCTGTTATCGTGGGGGAGGATACTGCTTCACAGTCTTTATGAGGGTGTCCAGCTGCTGGACACCTTTGACAGATTGTGTGGGGAATGTGGCAGGCTAAGAGGAGGCTTGAGGGCGTGTGTGGGAGGCTGGCGAAGTAGGTGTGGGGGTGAGGCGCTGCCCAGCCGCTGGCATCCTGCACTTTTCCCATCCTACCTTCCGCTTCCTTCTCTTCCTCCCTCCCTCCCTCCCCCACCCCCCTTTTCCTCCATTCACACCTTCCCTTCTATCTCCCTTATAAGGCCTTCTTCACCTAGAGTCTCGCCCCTGGCTGCTCCCGTGCGATACCTGGGCACACCTGAAGAGGGTTTCGGGAGTTCTTCTACTCCCCGAGCCCGGCCTGAGGCCAGGCTGGACCCCCTGAGCCCGGCCTGAGGTCAGGTCCGACCACTCGAGCCTGGCCATCACTAAAATTGTACATTATCTGTACAATTTCCAGATGTAAACATTTCTCCCTAACTTTCTCTGACATCTATCCGGCTCCTCCTGACTTTTCTGACTTTATCACAACTGGCCTATTGGAACTGCTCCCCCCCCCCACACCCTCCCCCCGGCCACGCACCACAACAAATTTAAATTTCTGAATTTATTTTTGAAACGCATGGGATGAATGGCGTGACATTTGAGAGCCACTGTAGCATTTTTGGCTCCTCTTTTGTGGCGGTCTGTGCTAATGAATTTTTTTTTTGTATTTGTGATCCAAAGCCGTATAGTGTATCACTGATATTGTGAACAGTAGCAGGGAGTGTACTCGCGCGCGGGCGTGCACGCCCACACTTATCCCAACCTTTTTGGTATCGTATGACAATTAGTGTGTGTGTGTGTGTTCTCACCTAGTTATGCTTGCGGGGGTTGAGCTCTGGCTCTTTGGGCCCGCCTCTTAACTGTCAATCCACTTTTTTTCCCCACACCCATCACCAGGAAGCAGCCCGTAGCAGCTGCCTAACTCTCAGGTACCTATTTACTGCTAGGTGAATAAGGGCGTCAGGGTGAAAGAAACGGCCCATTGGTTTCAGCCACCGCCGGGGTTCGAACTCAGGCCCTTAGGACTACGAATCCCGAGCGCTGTCCCTCAGCCGTCAGCCGTGTGTGTTTACTAGTTGTGTTTACTAGTTGTGTTTTTGCGGGGGTTGAGCTTTGCTCTTTCGGCCCGCCTCTCAACTGTCAATCAACTGTAACTATTCCAAAAAAAAACTGTAACTAAACAAAAAACTGGACAGTACGTCACTTTCGCCAGCCGCTTCAATTTTCTAGTACGACAATTGTTGGACTTATGTAACGCATACGAGCGAAAAGCGACGGTCTTTATAAGAGGACAGGACCCAGATTCACGAAGCAGTTACGCAAGCACTTACGAACGTGTACATCTTTCCTCAATCTTTGACGGCTTTGTTTACATTTATTAAAGTTTACAAGCATGAAAACTTGCCAATCAACTGTTGTTACTGTTATAAACAGCCTCCTGGTGCTTCGGAGCTCATTAACTGTTTAATAATTGTAAACAAAGCCGCCGAAGATTGAGAAAAGACGTACAGGTTCGTAAGGGCTTGAGTAACTGCTTCGTGAATCTGGCCTCAGGTTGGCAGGGTCGCCAGTGACCGCCGCACGTCTATTGGGGTGTAGCGGAGCCCCGCCCAGGTTAATGGAGCACTGTTCTTTTTCCACGTGATTGGGGTAAAGATTATTGGGGCTGGCACAGTACTACCGAAGCGGCTTGGGCCTTCCCAGACCTCAACCAGACCCCCCCCCCAACCACTTCCCCTCCTCTTCACTCGCCTACCACAATCCTAACTCCCTCCCCGGTGATACAACTCGCCCCCCCCCCACCACCACCTCACCCCTACTCCCCCCCCCCGCACCACCACCACCACCTCACCCCTACTCCCCCCCCTCACACAACAAAGGACGCCGCAGTGTGGCTCTAACAACCATCAATAAAAATAACTGTCGTCTGGAAGACGCTTGTGAAGAAAAGCCAAGAGTTAAAAAAACATGATCTCCATAGTTAACTATGTGGGGATAATTGCTGGGGGTCACTAGTGCTGGGGGTCACTAGTGCTGGGGGTCACTAGTGCTGGGGGTCACTAGTGCTGGGGGTCACTAGTGCTGGGGGTCACTAGTGCTGGGGGCCACTAGTGCTGGGGGTCACTAGTGCTGGGGGTCACTAGTGCTGGGGGCCACTAGTGCTGGGGGCCACTAGTGCTGGGGGTCACTAGTGCTGGGGGCCACTAGTGCTGGGGGCCACTAGTGCTGGGGGTCACTAGTGCTGGGGGCCACTAGTGCTGGGGGTCACTAGTGCTGGGGGTCACTAGTGCTGGGGGTCACTAGTGCTGGGGGCCACTAGTGCTGGGGGCCACTAGTGCTGGGGGTCACTAGTGCTGGGGGTCACTAGTGCTGGGGGTCACGAGAGAGAGAGAGAGAGAGAGAGAGAGAGAGAGAGAGAGAGAGAGAGAGAGAGAGAGAGAGAGAGAGAGAGAGGGGGAGAGGGAGAGGGAGAGGGGGGAGAGGGAGAGGGAGGGAGGGTCGCCAAGCTCCCTCAGCGCGCATTACAACAGTCATTTGTTTACAGCCGCGCACCTCACTGGCTGACACTAACGCTCCCTAAAAACACACACATGCGTAACAGACGCACAAAACATTGAATTGTAATGTTTACTAAACATCTCGTGAGCTGGGGGCGGCCGGCACTACTCTCCCAATTCATGTACTGCCCGGTGCTCCTAGTTCATATACTAGGTCTGGGTATGTAGGTATACTAGGTCTGGGTATGTAGGTATACTAGGTCTTGGTATACTCCAGCTGATCCGGCACCTGTTTCCCTCGTGAACACTTCAGTAGTTGTGGTGCCGCAGGTGGTGGCGGAAGGCAGGTGTTGTGGCGCCGCAGGTGGTGGCAGGAGGCAGGTGTTGCGGGTGTTAGCGGCCTCACCATCTGTTGGAGGTGGAGGTCAGCCCTGCCATTGACCACCACCATCTGGGCCTGACATAGACGGCTCTCAACTTGGGGTTTATAAGACTCGGCTTATATTACACTTCAAGACTCGGCTTATATTACACTTCAAGGCTCCTCGAGGCATTAACCTCTGCTGGAGAAAAGTTAATAACTGACTTTAAGTTATGAAGTTGAAGCCATCTACAGGAAGTTACGTGGATGAAACCTACCCCTCCACCCCCTCTATGTGGTGGGGGAGTGTATGTTCCACGCTTGCAACATACCCCTCCACCCCTCTATGTGGTGGGGGGGGGGTATGTTCCACCCTTGCAACATACCCCTCCACCCCTCTATGTGGTGGGGGGGTGTATGTTCCACCTTTGCAGCATACTGCAAAGCATTTGACTACATATTCATTGACTTTCTAGCCGATTTGCATAC